TTTTTTTTTTTGGCCAGGGCTGGGTTTGAACCCACCACCTCTGGTATATGAGACTGGTGCCCCACTCCTTTGAGCCACAGGTGCTGCCCAAGCCCTTCATTCTTCATTGTTCCCTTTCATGGGCTGAGAAGAACCTGGCTGAATATCGGACTCACCTGGGTTGCTCTTAAACTGGCACATTCTCTGGCACCACCTGGGTATTCTGAGTCAGTAGATGTGTTTCAGCCAAATTCGGGATGACTAGACCAGTAGTCTCTAAGAACATTTTTGGTTTTTCAGATTCTGTCAGTGAGGAAAGTAGGGTTTTGTACTATCAGAGCTTGCTGTCTGGCCCACAGTTTTGAAAACATGTAGAGCAGAGGTTCCAACCTTTCTGACACCAGGGACCATGGAAGACAGTTTTTCTATAGGGGCAGGGTAGGTGGAGCTCAGGCAGTGATGTGAATGATGGGGAGTGGCTGGAGGTGGTAAATGCAGATAAAGCTGCCCACCACTCACTTGCTGCTGTGCAGCCCAGCTCCTATGTCTCAGTGAAGCCAGTTTTTCCACGTGGCCCAGTTCCTAAGTTTTATGGAAGACCATTTTTCCACAGACCAGTAGGAGGGATAGGTGGAGCTCTGTGGCTGGTTCCTAATAGGCCATAGACTGGTACAGGGGGTTGGGGACTGCAGATTTAGACAGGCACATGGGTAGGCTTCAACTTAGTTTGGGGGACTACTGTTCACATTTCATAATCTTCCAGTTATGTGAACTGAAAGGGCCCCTCAGAGCAGTAGAGACGGCTTGCTGCTCTCTCCTGGAAGACTGGTGTGGTCAGGTGCCTGTGGATTCACAGTGAGAACCCCTGCAAAGTGTAGATAAGGGACTCACCTGGCTCCAATTGCAAAGTTTCATGGCAGTGAAACCCGTGTCAGGAGGTGGCTTTCAGGTGATTTGGATTAATGCCAGCTAGTCTGAGTCCTTTAAAGAACACAGGTAAGTGGCAGACCAGAAACATACATGTTGCTAAGAGTCTTAGAGGCCTCACTGATTATCTCCAGTACTTAGAATTTTTCTCCGTAAGATTGGGAACACTGATGAGCAGCAATCAGATAATGTCAGAAACTTCTGGAGCATGGAGTCGGTGGCACCCCCCCTAAATCCTGAATTTGCATGCCAGCAAGGGTAGGGAGCATGTTGAAGTAGGCAACAGATCAGAGGAGCCTCTTCTGATTTTTCTTCTAAATCAAGTTTACTTTTTTGTTCCTATAACTTGGTCAGATAGCCAGGGATGTGGGCATGGGCACTGTTCCTCTCTGCTGTGTGCCCTGGTTGCTGTTGCCTTTAGGAAGTGCCTGAGGCAAACCCACACCCACGTGAGAGGCTCTTTCAGTATCCAGACACACGGGCTGTGTCAACTTGAGATTTGGAAGGCCCGCATCTTGGTAGTGGTTCACTCTTCAGAATTGGGGCAAGCCTCATAACATTTCTGTCCTTTTTCCTCATTTGCACAGAAGTCTTTGACCTCCTTTAGGACTCGTAGGAAGATTGAGAAGGTCACAGGAATGAATGGACCTCAGGGGAAGGGATGCTGTAACAGCACCCAGGGACACGCTCGTAAAACCTTCATCATGTGTTCTTAAGGGGCCAAAAGTCTGCAGAAAGATGAGTGAGCTTTACAGCACAGGGGCTGGTGCCGGCTGTATGCTCAGGGCATTGTGCTTGGTGTCCCTGGGAAGTAGCCAAGGAGTGTTTTCTCACTGAGAGCAGCAAATGGGCAGCTGGGGCTTGAACTGCAGAGAACGGGTTGCTGGAAGAAGCCCCTTGAGCTAGTGAGGGCTTTACAAGTTTTATTGCTGGTCTGGACTGACCAGGAAGCTCCAAAGTTCCAGCAGTCCTGGGTCAGCTGAGCAAGTAGAGGTCAAAGGCATAAGGACCCTGGTATTGGAGTCATGCCCAGTGAGCCAGCGAAAGCCTTCTTTTGCCTACCCTTGGGTGGAAACCGGCCCCCAGTGGTTTCTGCTCCCAACTCTCACGAAGACCCCCCCCCACCTACCCACCCACCTTTCCAGGGAGGCACATTTTCAAGTACGGGTCTCTTTTGTTTAGTTCTTCTCTCCCACCAGGACCTTTCTTTGAAGCCCACTGCTGCATGCTGCGTGCGGGCCTCATGCTCACTCACACACCACCCCAGTCACTTCTGTTCTGTTTGATCAAGTCCATGTCCAAACCACACGATCCATGCATCTTTTTGTACTGCACTTATTAGATCTCTCTCTCTCCTTATGTAAGAGGCCTTCATTTATTTATTTTAAATTTCTTTTTTTTTTGTTTTACTTTTGCAGTAGATCTATATTCCATTAGCTTAAATTTTGGCAAGCATTTCTAATCTCTTACAATGTGCGGTCTCTGCAAGGTAAGGCCTCAGGTCCCCGGCCCTTTCCCTCTCACACCTGAGGTCCCACCCACCAGGGCAGCACCACTCAGCTGGTTCCCAGAGGTCAGTGGATTCCCCGGGGGCTTTGCCCATCATCTTCCTCTCTAGCAGACACCATGCTTTCCTCACACGGTGCTCTACCACCCCTGCCCCATTCACAACCTCTCTCACAGCCAGCTTGTTGGGATTTCTCTCTCTGGCTTCACCTTGAGTTCAAGAGAGAATTAGAAATGCAGCTGCCCTGTCACCTGGCAGGTGGCTCTGGGCCCTGATGAAGAGATGGCTCATTCCTCTGTACAGCCTGGTACCCCACATGTTGCCCAGGCCTCTTGTGACGGGGCCCCAAGCCCCATTCCCCTCCCTGCTTCCACTAGACCCAGTCTGGGGGGAAGGGGGTGTACCCATCCCAGAGAAGAGCAGGAGAGGGCAAGTGTCTGAACGGGAACTGGCTGGCTCACTGTCTTTTCTGCCTCCCCCAGGATCCACGCACATTCTCACCCCACAGAAACTGCTGGACACTCTGAAGAAATTGAATAAAACAGATGAAGAAATAAGCAGTTAAAAAAATAAGCCGCTCCTCCAAACATGCCCCTCTTCCTGCAGTGCTCTGCAGCTCCCTACCGCCCTGCCCTCAGTTACTTTGCTGACTTTCCCTCTGTTGCCTCCCCTGCCCTGCACGTCCTGGCCAGCACTATCGCTGCTGCATTCTCCTGTTTAATGATGCCCTCTTCTAGTTTGAAACAAACAAACAAAAATAATGCATTGTGTTTTTTAAAAAGAGTATCTTATATATGTATCCTAAAAGGAGAGGTTCATGTGCAGATGATGCACTGCCGAAGATTTGAACTGTTTAGAATGAATGGACACCTTCTCCCCATTATTTATGATTCTGTGACCTTGTACATAGCCCTTTGCATCATGTGCATATTGCTTGAGTATGGAAAGGTAGAAGTTTGGGTCATTTTAAAAACCACTTTTGAGTTGTTCCTATTCTTGTCGGGGATCATAGAGACGCCTGTGTTGTTGGAGTGTTTCACGCTGAGGACTTATCTGTTTTCTTCACTCCAGTTCCTGCTCCCCAGTCCCTGCTCTTGCCCAGATGGTCAGGGGACATCTCATGAGAGTTGAAGAGGGACAGGGCTTCTTCGGTTTTCCTAGTGGCATGTCCCAGGTGGTGCAGCTGTGAGTAGGGCTGGGGTGTCCTTGCAAAGCCAGGCTGGTGTCTTCTTCTTCACAGTCTGTCCCTGCTTTCTCCCTGGCATATATCCACAGTACTGGGATTCCAAGAGAAGGTCTTCTCCAATCAGTGTCACGGTGCCCAGACAAGTAAAAAGCAAACTCCCACTGGAGACTTTTGTCTCTTCTGGAGAAGCATTCAGGCCTGACTTGTTGACCAGAGCCCTCCATCTCCAGGTGTTACCCTTAACAGCTCAGTTTCCTTAGCAGGGTCAACCTAGTACAAGGGTCAGGAATGGACCAGGACAGATGTGTCTGGAAGCCCCTGGTCAGAGGGCCATTGGCTGAGAAGAAGGTTGTTGGCCTGAGAATAGCCTGTTGGATTTATACAGACCCTGTGCCCCCTTCACAAGTAACTTTTGTCATATTCTCCTTAGTTTAAGATACATCGTAATCCTTTATTTGGTGTAGTGTGGGGTCATATGTCATCATGCTTGTAAGAGAAAATTATTATTTTATTCTCTGTATAAAAACTTAGCTGTATAAAAACTTAGCTCTAATGCAGAAATTAAACAAATGCAAGGATGTCTCATCCTCAAGACTCAGCAGTTCTCATTCTCCAGTGGTGAATACACCATTTGTTCTGCTGCTGTTGTCATGAAATATAATGACAGTGGAAGTCACAAAAAATGTCCCCTGCCCAGTTCCTTGCCGCCCATGGCCTCCTGCAGCCTGTGTGTATATTACTCGTCTCGTGCTGTGTTGCAAACGTGGTGTGTGCCCGCTCTGCGCTGCCGCCTCCCTCAGAGTCTGTTTCTGCCTTTCTGTTAGCTGCATCGTAGTGTTCTCAAGGCTTTGAAATCTCCCCTTTGCACTCAGATGAGTTTTCAGGTCTGTCCCTCTGTGTCCTCCCTCCTGAGATATCTTATTTCTGTAGGACACAGCTGTAGGCGCTTGCATCGGTTCGTTCCTTTCTCCCGCTGCTTGTTTGTTCCTCCCTTGGACCAAACAGTCAGTGCTCATGCTTCAGGACCTTGTTTGTCCAACATGTTGATTTCCCTTTCTCTGTTATTTATATTAAAAATAATTTATCAAAAGGATATTTTAAAAAAAGCTAGTCTGTCTTGAAACTTGTTTACCTTGAAATTATCAGAATCTCAGTGTTTGAAAGTATTGAAGCACAAACATGTATCATCTCTGTACCGTTCTGTACTAAAGCACTTGAGTCTAATAAATAAAGAAATCAGTGCCCCTTCATGGTCCAGGCTGCCTCCTGGTCTGCTTTTACTTTGGGGAGTGGAAGGAGAAAGGCTCTGTGGTGGTGCACTGCAGAGGAGACTAGCCACCCCTGGTTATGGCTTGGAGGCTTCCAAGTCCAGGTCACTGTCACTTGCATTAGTAGCTGTCTCACATTTGGTGACAATCCATGAAGCTTGTATTGGGCCCATAGCAGCAGCAGGGCATCATGTTGAGACGAGGCAGTTTCTCCCATTGCCCATTTCTCTTCTAGAGACCTCTACCGCAGACCTTTTGGGCCTGTCTCTGCAGGTACCCTACTCAAGCAGGTGGTACCCATGTATTTAGGGCCGGCAGTGAAGTCACCTCATCAGCTCTCCTCTGCTCCTGCTGCCACACCATCCAGCCCACATGTGTAACAACCTCTCCAGGTTGGAAGATCATGCCTGTCCTGCTTGTTGTGGAACCTGCCATTTTGATGGCCACTAACAAAAGTAAATAAATAAATAAAAACACCAGAAAATGGCAAGTGTTGCCAAGGATGTGGAGAAATGGGAAAGCTTCTGCCTTGATGGCAGGGATATAAAATGGCCGAGTATCAAAAAATTAAAAATAGAATTTCCATGCAGTCCAGTAATTCTATTTCTGAGTATATGCCTGAAAGAGTTGAAATAAAGGCCTTGCAGAGATCTTTGTACAACCATGTTCATAACAGCATTGTTCACAATAGCCAGAAGATGGACGCAACCTAAGTGTCCATCAGCCACTGAATGATTAACAAAAACAGAAAGAGTGTGTGTGTGTTATGCTAGCGGGAAAGTCTCCAGCCACGCCTGTCTCTGTGTTACATGACGGCTGGATTCCTTCCCGGTACCCATTATAATAGTGCAGTTTGTGGGTGCAGTCAAGCTGCAGCCACTGGGTGTGGGTTTTTCAGCATGCTGTGAGGCCCTAAAACATTTCCATATCCAAGTACCAATGACACAAGCCTGAGCATACCCCTTCTCTGATTTCAAGGTGCTCATTTAAGTGATTTATCTTCAGAATCTTTTTTTTTTTTTTTTTGAGACAGAGTCTTTATTGCCCTCGGGGTTGAGTGCCGTGGTGTCATACCTCATAACAACCTCAAACTCTTGGGTTCAAGAGATCCTCTTGCTACAGCCTCCCAAGTAGCTGGGACTACAAGTACCCACCACAACACCCAGCTACTTTTTCTATTTTTAGTAGAGAAGAGCTCTCACTCTTGCTCAGGCTGGTCTTGAACTGAGCTCAAGTGATCCACTTTGGCCTCCCAGAGTGCTAGGATTACAGGTGAGAGCTACCATGCCCAGTCTTCTTTTCAAAATCTTGGACTGACCCTGTCACTCCAGAACCAAAGTAATTATGCTTTTATTAAGCCACATTTTAAAATGATGCCAAATCTTGGAATAGAAATTAAAGAAACCTCTTTTAGAGCTGAAAACCTTCAAAGAGTAGATCAAGATTAGGGTAGACTGCAGCACTGACCATAGGACTTTGCCATTCCTCCCACTTGATCTGGGCTGCCTTATAACTTGCTCTAATCAATGTGGCAAGAGCGAGCTTGTGCCAGTTCTAAAGCTAGGCAGACCTCAATGGGCCTGGCAGCTTGTGCTCTTGTGAGCAAGCTAGGCTTGTCTGCTGGTGATGACATTGGCCCAGTCACAGCAAGCTACACCAGACATGTGTGTGGTCACTTGCCAGCTGAGATCAGACAAGGAGGGGCTACAACGTAAACACCTTCCCCCCATAAATTGAGAGCTAAATAAATGTTATCTTAAGCCACTCAATTTCAGGGTGGTTTGTTATGCAGCTAAAATACTGATACAAGGCAGCTACTTCCCAAATCAAACATTCTACCTACCTCCTTTTATGCATGTGATACACTTATCAACCTAATGTGTGACAGAGCAGAGTATCTTTCAGTAAGGAACTCAGCAGCACCAGGGCCACGTTTTGTTTGAATATCAAGAATTCTGGGCTTGGCACCTGTGGCTCAAGTGGCTAAGGCGCCAGCCACATACACCTAAGGTGGCGGGTTCAAATCCAGCCCAGGCCTGCCAAAACAATGACCGCTGCAACCAAAAAATAGCCAGGCGTTGTGGCGGGCGCCTGTGGTCCCAGCTACTTGGGAGGCTGAGGCAGGAGACTCGCTTGAGCCCAGGAGTTGGAGGTTGCTGTGAGCTGTGATGCCAGGGCCCTCTACCCAGGGGGACAGCTTGAGGCTCGCTCTCTCTCAAAAAAAAAAAAGAATTCTAGTTGGGCACAGTGGCTCACACCTGTTAATCCTAGCACTCTGGGAGGCCAAGGTGAGTGGATTGCTTGAGCTCAGGAGTTCAAGATCAGCCTCAGCAAGAGTGAGACCTTCTTCTCTAAAAAATAGCTGGGCATAGTGGCAGGCACCTATAGTCCCTGCTACTGGGGAGGCTGAAGCAAGAGAATTGCTTGAGTCCAAGAGTTGGAGGTTGCTGTGAGTTATGACACCATGGCACTCAACTCCATGGCTACTGAGTGAGACTCTGTCTCAAATAAATAAAATAAAAAGAATTCTTGGACACATACTGTTATTTCCCATGCATCAGAATGTTCCAATTCAGTACAAATAATGACCTGACATACCAAAATGACCTGACTCACTATTTAAGTTATTGTTTCTGGCCTGAGTGAATAGTTGCAAACAATACCTTCCCTGTCAGTGGCAGGAAACTATTCTGATTTAGATTCATGTGTCCATTTTTTTATTTAGAAAAAAATTTTTTTTGAAACAAGAGTCTCACTTTCTTTCCCCTGGTAGAATGCTATGGCCTCATAGCTCACAGCAACCTGAAACTCTTGGGCTCAAGCAATCCTCTTGCCTCAGTTTTTCATTTTTAGTAGAGATGAGGCCTCGTCTCACTCTTGCTCAGGCTGGTCTTGAACTCCTTAGCTCAGGCAATCCAACTGCCTTGGCCTCCCAGAGTGCCAGGATTACAGGTGTAAGTCACCTTGCCTGGCATTATTTAGAAAAAAAAAGAATTTTTTTTTTGGGGGGGGGACCAAGTCTTACTTTGTTACCCTCAGTAGAGTGCTGTAATGTCATAGCTCACAGCAACCTCAAACTCCTGGGCTCCAGCGATTCTCTTGCCTCAGCATCCCAAGCAGCTAGGACTACAGGCGCCTACCACAATGCCCAGCTAGTTTTAGAGATGAGGTCTTACTGTAGCTCAAGCTGGTCTGGAACCTGGGAGCTCAGGACACTCTACCCGCCTCAGCCTCCCAGAGTGCTAGGATTACAGCTGTGAGCCACCATGCCCAACTTAAAAATTTTTGATGAATCTTTTCCAAATTCACATAAAATTGATG